CTGTACAGTGGTTATATTCATGAAATCGTATGTTAAAAACAGTCATGACGATGTCTAACATACCAGAGTACAGATCATGTATGTGCAAGTCATGAAATTATTTAAAAAAACCTGTACATCCTAGTCACAAAAGATAAGGAATATTCACGTTGCAGAAGTGTATTCTGTTAATGCCAAGTGAAAGTTCTTTGGAAGCAGATATTGGTTAAACTCAACAGAACCTGTTAACACAGGTGTAACTTGCGCACGTATTTGAGTGTGTGAGGGGGAAGATTTTTTTTCTTTACTAACGAGAAAGTGTCTTCCGCCCATTTAGACAGCAGTAGTATTGAAGATTCATAAGGTGTATACCAGTACATCCTAAAGTAATTCTGCTTTCCTTTTGGAAACTAAAGTTACGCCCCCTGTCTTTTAGTTTTATAGAGTGAATTTTTAAATAATAACGCCTAATGTCGCACGTTTTTAATTTCTTCGGACGTATATAAAAAAACACGCACCAAAAAAACAAAAAAAAACGTAGTGTACATGATGTATAAGCGATTAGTAAAATCGGAGAAAAATACGTGAAGGACGTGAAAATCTATTTAAAGCATTATTAAATAATTCAATTCGCATTGCATATCTCCACGGCTCGTTGTACAGCAGATGTTATCAAGAAAGATTTTTATTCTTCTGGATGCCAGATAAATCGATCCTAAGTTTCGTTAAAAAAGGAAATGGGAAAATTTTATCCATATTTGTGTTTTTATGGAAATGACCCATTTATTCCTTTTATATTTTACTAACTTTTATTGGTATCCAGTTTTATCAAGTACGTTTCCCAATTACCCCATTTTAATGTACTCAGTTACCCCTGTAACAATGGACTGGTGGTTAAAATTTCTAGAGTGTGAATCCAAAGATTCATGGCTCGCGACATGTTGCCCCAAAATCGTGCTCCGTACTTTAATAAGAGGCTGTGAGCGTGACAGTCAAATTTAACTATTCCATTAGGCAAGAGTAGCCCAAGAATTAGCGGTGAGAGTTAGTGACTAGCTATTCCCTGTAGTAGATCAGTTCAAAATTCGGGAAATGTATGCGCGGATAGCTGTATTCGAAATTTTGGAATAAACCTTTTAGTGTCTCTTACTACGCGTGGAGAGCCTATGCAGTACCTAATTGTAGACTGGTATTTTAATATTTCCGATTAATTCACACTATGCAGCACCTAATTGTGGACTGGTATTTTAATATTTCCGATTAATTCACACTATGCAGCACCTAATTGTGGACTGGTATTTTAATATTTCCGATTAATTCACACTATGCAGCACCTAATTGTAGACTGGTATTTTAATATTTCCGTTTAATTCACAGATTTCTCCGATAAAACGTTTTTTTTTTAATATATGTGGCTATTTGCCAAATGAATGTAAAATAGTGTTGAAAGTATGTTCTTGAAGTTTTGATTAGACTGTATAACGAGCCATTATTTTCCATAACTTTCTATCACCATTAATATATTTCGCAGTATTCGTATTGTATATCAAGATCTTTCATAATTCCAAATGGTAACTTTGACGTTTTCATGTTGATTCATCGTTAAAACATACAACTCAACTTGTGTGTTATGTTTTGTATGCAGTTATTTTGATAACGGAAAAAAATTCCCAAAAGTTTAAACACCCACAAATGCTTATTTAACGTTTCTCTCAATGTAAAGTGTTGTTTATTCATTACGTACACATACAGTTGCAATATCTTGAGGCTTTATAGAAAGCTCGGCGTAGACTGTCTATATCAGATTTGTTATTGGCCAGGCTGTAACCAGCTCCCTTAACGCGACAAGAGCAATAAACGCTATATGAAAAGAGTAAAGGAGGGGAGGGGGAGTGAAAATATAGCAAGAGAAGCTGACATCAGCAGAATAGTTGTCTACGTAATGGATTTAGTCACGTATGATCTTACGCTACATGAACTGCAAAATAAAGAATATGGTGACACAGCTCAACTAACTGGAGCACTGTAAATGGGGGGGGGGGTAATAATGCCGACAAATATATATTTATTCATAATCATTTGTAGCGTTCATTGCGTGGAGTACTGAATGATTAAATGGTAATTATTATAATAATTTCAATCTCTGCTGGCTCTGAACGGATTTCCAGTTAATAGATTTTGAACTACAATTTATCAGTTTTACACGGTTGGCGATGAGGCCTTTCGTACAATACCAGAACTCACCGTATCAGTCATTTATGACGCACCATGCTTCATAATGTATAACGGCTGAGATGGTGGAACACAGTCTGTTAGTTGGTAGATAGGTTGAAGACATTGTTCTGCATGGTTGAACAATGTAAAATATGTTTCGCTTAATGAGAGAGAGGGGAATTTTGTGAGCTATTTGTTTCGTCGATAGAGAGGAATTTTGTGAGCTATTTGTGTCGTCGATAGAGAGGAATTTTGTGAGCTATTTGTGTCGTCGATAGAGAGGAATTTTGTGAGCTATTTGTGTCGTCGACAGAGGAATTTTATGAGCTAGAATGCTACAAAACAAACTGAAGGTTTCGCAACTGGTAATGCATTACACGCATATCTGTGTGTCTCGCATGATTTTAAGTTATTTGTTCTCTGTACAATTGTTTTGTATACTTAGATATTTTTTTAAAAAATTACCGTAAATGCTGTTATAAACTAGAAATGGTTAGCTCATACCTCGGCCATATTATAGATAATTAGTTACTTGTTATTTACTTACAGAAACGCACGTGGAAGGCACGAATTTTAACATGTAGGATCGTTGTATGGATGCAACAAAACATCACGTAATGTTTCTCGTCCAAGTGATGAATACCCTCTACACGTAGCAATGACTCTGTGAATACAGACCGCTTCATTTAGCAAATAGAAACATTTAATCTGTTTATTTCATGGACGTAAACATCGTAGTCATTCAACAAGATTACCAAGATAATTTCCTGCAAAATATCTACTTTTGCGTTATATATAAACACGCTCTCTCTCTCTCTCACACACACACACACACACACACACACACTCACTCACTCACTCACTCACTCACTCACTCAACCTTTTCATATATTTCTATTAAATTGGGCAGGTACCATCTATGGTTATCCTCATCACATTGTTACTGATGGACCAGTTGTCGTGTTCGGTCTATGGTTATCCTCATCATATTGTTAGTAACGGACCAGTCGTCATGTACGATCTATGGTTATCCTTATCACAATGTTAGTTTGGTTTGTTTTGAATTTCGCGCAAAGCTACACGAGGGCTAGCTGTGCTAGCCGTCCGTAATTTAGCAGTGAAAAACTAGAGAGAAGACAGCTAGACGTCACCACCCACACTCAACTCTTGGGCTACTTTTTTACCAACAAATAGTAGGATTTACCGTCACATTATAACACCCCACGGCCGAAAGAGCAAGCATATTTGGTGGGACAAGGATTCCATCCCGTGACCCTTATATTGCAAGTCAAGCGTCCTAACCACCATGCCGGGTCCACAATGTGATAGACCAGTCGTCATGTACGGTCTGTGGTTATCTTCAGCACGTTGTTAGTGACGGACCTGTCGTCATGTAATGTCTATGGCTATCCTCATCACAGTTAGTGACGAACCTGTCATCACATAATGTCTATGGCTATCCTCATCACAGTTAGTGACGAACCTGTCGTCATGTAATGTCTATGGCTATCCTCATCACAGTTAGTGACGAACCTGTCGTCATGTAATGTCTATGGCTATCCTCATCACAGTTAGTGACGAACCTGTCGTCATGTAATGTCTATGGCTATCCTCATCACAGTTAGCGACGAACCTGTCGTCACATAATGTCTATGACTATCCTCATCACAGTTAGTGACGAACCTGTCATTACATAATGTCTATGGCTATCCTCATCACAGTTAGTGACGAACCTGTCATCACATAATGTCTATGGCTATCCTAATCACAGTTAGTGACGAACAAGTGTGAAAAAAGTGATTTTAGAATATACGGCTTCTTGATTTTAAGTTCCTTGCAAAACCTACTTGAATTAACAGTCGTAGTAAGGTTCATTATAGACTTTTTGTAATCAAAAGTTAAATGCTTTAATTTTGTTCTTTACAGCATTATCTCTATCAAATATTCGTATAAATACATGTTAACAGAATATATACCATCATAGATAATTTTTTGAGTTGTTTTTTTCCCTAATATATTAAGAAGGAAATTTTTACGATTAAACTATTTTCATTAACTTGTGTATCCCATTTACATTTTTAGGTCTGCTTTATGCGCTAAGAATATAACATAGTAGTTTAGCTTAGACACGCGCGCGCGCACACACACACACACACACACACACTTTGTGCGTTATCATTTTCGGAAAAGTGATATTAGGCTAACTTTTAATTTCTTGAAACTTCAATCAAATTTAATAAAGCTTTACATCCTTATTGTAGGTAGAGAGAAAATACCTTTCTACTTGGGTCCCATCATTGGAAATAAAATTAGGTAAACGCAGAATGACAATAAGAAAAAAAACTGAGATAACTTAAAAAAATACATGCATGTATATATCAAGATATGTAATTTTTTTCCATTATTAAAATCGTGAAAAAAATTGAATATTTTATCGCGAAGTATTTCTGAAAATTAATCCGTGAACGATGATAGAGAATTAACTTTAAATTCAACTTCTACACTTAAAGCGCCAAAGAAAATTTTTTACTAAAAGGCGTTAATTAAACTTATTTGGTAAGTGTTACAGCGATTTACTTGCAAAATGGCATAGGGTCAACAGAAAATGATAACTTTATGTTCGAAATGCCAACAGCTGGATCGAGGATGACAAGACGTTTATACGTTTTTACCGATTTTCGCCTTCATCCATTTGTTCCATTTCCGCCGTCCACTAGGTAAATAAAGATTGAGAGACACTGAAAGGAGGCGCTTATATTTATTTTGCTGCTCGTGCTGAACGTGTGTCTTTCTTTCTTCGTATCTAGTACAGACGCCGAGACCGTGAGCACGAGGAGGGAGGCAACATATCCAGTTACGTGTCGGCTGAGGACCCTTACAACTGGCGGCCATCACCTCTAGAACCTGTCATTCCAGAAAACCCCAAACCAGATCCGAAGATGACAGACTCTCATCTGTAAGCTTGACATTTACATCTGTTTTCCAAGACTAAAATATTCATTCTAGAGAAAATTTATACAGCCATTAGTTCTTAAGAAATGTATAGTGTTTTCGTTAATATGTATTAGTTTTGTGTGTAGATGCCATTTTTTGTTTTTGTTTTCCTTAATACCCCAGTGTCTACCGCACTACTTTGTGGTTTGTAAAGTGTAGTAAACGTTTTGTAGTGATTTCAGATGAGAGAAGGTAACTAAAAGGCCCAATCATTTAGTTTTGGCTCCTCCTTTAAGTAAAAAAAAAAAAAATTGAAATAATTTACAAAGTCTAATACTTTCTGATGTGAAGTAGTGTTTCAATTGGTTTGCGTATTTTCAATGTCCATGTCGCTGTAGATGTTTAATCTTACCAAAATTATACGGACAGAACTATCCTTTCAAAGAGTATTGGAGACTATCTGATAGTAATACTGTTGCTTTACCAAGTTACTAATGAACCTCTGTCGTAGTGTGTCAAGAGGTGTGATCCTTTATTTTAGATTGTTGTTCACAAAATTCAGCCAACAGCTTGAAATGGATAATAATGTAATAGGGATATTTACGCATGGCTGTCCCAAATTTTGAACTTGTAGACTAGAAAAAGGAAGGCAGCTTGTCAACAGCACCCTCTAGTAACTCTTGGACTACTCTTGTCTGATCAAAAAGTGGGATGTAAGGATTAACCGTCATTTTTATGTTGTGGGGCCCACAGCCACGGAATATGAAGCGCGTTTTTGGATCCAGGTCGCGACCAGGAATCCTCGGGTTCACAGCTCACGCACGCTAACCATTAAGCCTTTCCCGGTCAATATAATAATGACCAAAGATTATATATTTTGGTCTATCTCAAATTTATCGATAAAGGAGAGGGCTGAAACAAAAGGTAAACTAGATTGCAACATATATTCGTTCCCCAAGTTGCAGATTCAAATGTTATCAAATCTTGGGATTTGTTTGTTTCAGCTTTGCCAAATTGCAACTAGCCTGAGCTGAAAAATAGTTAATATCTGTCTACATAAATTTTACCTTGCTTGCTTTACTCACCTTTTAACAAGTATCACTCTTGAAATGAAAATATTTATCGTGAAATGCTAAAACGAGTTTTAAATGCTAAAAACACTTTTCATAATGACCAAAGTTGATCATTATACAGATATTTGAATACGGTAGTTTAATGCATTTGTAATGAGCTGAAAGCTGACGCTGTACAAGTTATCTCTGTGTGAATCTGACAGACCAGTTGCGTGTCTATATCAGATTGGTCTCTAGTTGGCGTAGCGGCTAAGGTCCATCTGGAACACACTAAGCATGCTAGATGGAAGTTGTGTCGATGGTCAGATCTTCCTCTTCCCTCAGTAGGAATCATTCAGTGTTTGACATCTGTGTGATAAACAATTGCTTACCATTAGTTGACTATAAATAATTTCAAACCATAATTAGAAACATAAGTTGTTTAACATGAGATTACTTATTAGATTCGAACATATGCAAGATGCTTAGTTTAAAGTGTCAGCTTGCTTCTAGGCCGTTAATTAAAGTAGTGCTAGGTTATTAAAAGTAATTAGAATCGTGTTGTAAAAACCAATCTACGAGAGAGGCTTTGTCTGTTATATATATATATATATATATATATTACTGAATTTTTTTTTTATTAGAGTGGTCAAGCAAATAACAGAATTATCTGTGCAGATGTGACGAGATTTCGTTGTTGAACCACAGTTTAGGCCAATTAGCTTAATGAATGCGTACAATTAAAAAACGGCATATAATCAAAAGGAAAATTATACCAACACAGAAAATCATTCTTGATTTTAATGTAGTTAGTGACGTATTTCAAAACAGAAGTTACAGTTTAACTTGTGTAAAAGTTTATTATATTTTATTAGGGAATAGGATGTGTGAAATTATTTTTTTTAATGTTATCGAGGTTCAAATTACATTAGAAACGCAAGTGTTTTTGTTTCGACAAACGCTCCATTGTATCGGTTTTCTTGCTGTTTATTGATGCAATTCGGTGTATGAAAGCCCCAGTTGTTTGTCATTGAGTGTAATTTAATAGTCTCTGTAGTACAATGGTATCACACAGGATCAGGAAATATATCCACATCATAAAACTAATTGTAACCCGAGCATTCTCGGAAGGTAGGCAGGCACTCTTCCCTTCTACTATTCTTCATATTAGATGTGTTTGGAAAGTCTCTTACAAAGAGGGAAATGTTAATTGTATTAAGAACATTTTAACAGGTTTGTGTACTTCGACTGAACTAAACATCTAACACTGTTTGGGCTGTGGGTCGAACGTTCGAGATGTGATGCCGCTGAACACGCACGCACGCACGCACGCACACACACACACACACACACACACACACACACACTGTCCTTTCAGCTGTGGACGCGTTGAAGCTGTGACAGTCAATTCCATTATTAAGTTCAAAGAGTTGTACGAAACCCTTGTGGCGGCGGGTATTGCTGGCTGGCTGCTCTCCATCTGTTCATTGTTAAAAATTAAGGACGACTGTCCCATGGATTTCTGACCTGGCTAGTCGTACGCATAAGGTTTAAAATCCATTTCTAGCACTGTAAAAGACGAAACATTAGTTTTGAAATACAACCGTGTTTTCTCAACAAATTCATGTCTATCTCTCTGTAAATAAACTCTACTCTCCAGTTTTTACAACACAAATTATATATTATCTGTTTTCAAAAAAAAATTATTCGGTTATCTAGTGGTTAACTTTTCGAAATATGAATCTGTAGGTCCAATGTTTACAGGAGAGACGCTCTGCACTTTGCCACTGTGGGTGCATTATAAGACTGACAGTCAAATCTCACTATTCGATCAAACAGTAGTAGCCCAAGGGTTGTCAGTGGTGTTGTTGACAAGTTGCCTTTCTTTGTAATCTGTCAATTTAAAGTTAGGGACGTTTAGTGCAGATAGTCCATGAATTTATTTTTCGTGAACAGACAGACAGTTGCAACGGGCATTACCGGTTTTGTGAACAAAAAGCCAGATCAACTCCAAAGGTAACATAATTGATATGTAAATATTTAAAGCTGAAACAACTACCTTGCGTAAAACGTTGGCAGGTAAGGGGCCTAAAGAGCTCAATGAATTTTGGATGATTACAGTTTCCAATATTCAACTGTTGCGTCCATAATTTATGCCTATTCCCAGTTGGATAATTGGGTCTTTACGAAACTTATTTTTCTGACTGTTACAAACAACTTAAATATTTTTATTTTCGGAAAACAAACGAATTTAACAGAATGTGCAAGACAAGTCTTGTGCTGGTTTGGCCTTGACATTTAACAGAGGTGTAAATGTAATGTAAACTTGGACAAAAACATTCAAGTATGTTACGAATGTTGATTCAAAATGTAAAGTTCAACAAAAGTGCTATATGAACAATACGCCTTGGAATCAAATATCGCTGTCTGTCACACTGTGTATCTGCATGCATATTCTTAAAAAATTGGTAAAAACCTGTCAAGCCTGACAAACGGCAGTTACTCGAAACGTCGCTTAAATATAACATTTTAAACATATTTTTTTCTTTTAGTTTGATGTTGTGCTATTGCAACTATTTTGTGAATGTTTACGTACATATTTCTCGTCAATTTTTGTCTTCAATCTAGGCCAATTTCAAAAGGGATTGATTTGTTAGATCGGGTGATGAATTATTGTCTGGTGATGTCAGTATAATTTTGTTTCTATCTATGCAACAATTGTTGCTAGTCGAATTTGGTACTTCAAACATGCTAATTTACACAAGCAGGTTGTAACATATCAAGTTGTAATTATATACAGAGGCTGTCACATAGATTTTTTTTTAGGGTAGCAATATAGTTGCATTGTCTATAGGAGATTCCAGTTAGCATTTTTTCTTCGACAGCTGTTAGCACCTTGCTCATTCTAAATTTCTAACCATAGCTTCAAACACACATTTGAAATAGATGTGTGCAATATACAAATATATATTCATTTCCATGTTAGAAAACTGGCTGGGTTTGGGTTTTACTGATAAATTGTGAGTCATCTCTAAGTCATGGTTGTTTAGTCTCGACTACAGAATTTGGATAAAGGTTACGTCTGAATCGTTAGGGTCAACATCAGTTGCACTGTATAGCTGGCTAGTTTATCTTGCTAACTGTACAAAAATGACAGACAAGAGGGGAGAGGGCTTGCAAAATGCTTAATGGACTTCTTCAGTGCCTTCCTCTCTTCCATTCCACCCTCACAATAGAGCTGTAATCCCTAATGCTTCAATGCCCAATTGCTTCAGTCCTAGAGATAACAGTGTAGAAAAAGGAACATACATACAATTATCGTCTGGAAACTCGATAGATATGTCTGTGTTTTCCAGGCTGGCGCTATGGAGGGACAGAATAGACGCTAGTTATCAGTTCACAGACATAGGCACTATTTTCTGGTATTTGGAAAAGTTGATTTCTAATTTCAAAACGTCCACTTTATCCTATAATCGTAAATGTGGTATAATAATGTTTCTTTTAAAGAAGATACTGTTAATATTTAGGAAACTCACTCTTAGAACTTTAAAACACGGAGAATAAGCTTTAAAGACAGTTAGTAAAAGTTAAAAAAAATTCACCAGAGGTTAGTGCTTTAAAAATTATGACTAACTATATTTTACTTTCACTACAAAACACTGGTTGAGCTATGTCAGAATGAAGAATGTATGTGTATATGTAGGAAATAAAATACTAATCGATTAGCGTTATAAACTAGCTGGGAACGAAATACTTCGTTAAACAGGTAGCTGGACTTGAACAGTGATAATATTTTCGTTCTTCCCTTAGTTTGTTTCATTTCCTGTCAAACTTGTTATAGAAGGTTCTGACCTATCTACCTAAACATGTATAACATGTTTAAGAAACAAAGTGGGCTCAGCAACTACGTTTTTTTAAGACTATTCTGCTTCAGGGCAAATTTATCACTTTTAGAATAAAATATGGAGAT